GCATTCCTGTTTATTAAAATTCAAAAGCAGAAAAATAGCTTTTGTGATAAATTTAAGTATTTACTATATATATTTTTTAAAAGATGACCTCTGCTTTTAGAAAACAGGCATTTTATAAATATTAAAAATGAATTATTATTTACATATGTTTCATTTTGCCATAAATTCATTGATTGTTGATTCTCTGTACAGGTAAATCCTAGGAGACAAATTGTGAATCTGATTGTGCATTGTTTAATGACTATAATACCTACTGGGCTCAATACTTGGATTGTTGGATTACTGACTTCATAGCCAGAAATAACAAAAATACCCTGTATGAGACCCACAGTGGGAATGGTATACAGACACAAAGGGACATTGGCTCCTAAGTTATTGTTGTTATTTTAACCACTTCTAAATTTGGACTAAATGCAAATAATATCTACCAGTTAAATCTTTGATAAATTTGGCATACATATGAACATGGGTACCAAAGCCATGAGTATAACTGGGTATCTCCCCTCCACTCAGGGTCAGACCAGTCACTGTATTTGAGGTCAGGAAGGAATTTTATCCCATGGTCAGGTTGGGGGCTGTCTTCTGTAATGGAGTGGGGAGGGAGGGTGTTGACTGGGGTTGGGGGGCTGTCTTCTGTAATGGAGTGGGGAGAGAGGGTGTTGCCTGCCCTCTACCTGGGATTTTGAGTGTATATTAACAATCTTTTACAGAAGCAGGATGGATGTTGGCTGCTGTGGTCCCCTGCTTTACCTGTGGCAGGTTAGGGAGTTATGTTTTGTATTGTGTCAGGGTTGACAGTAGTTTTACTAAGAAGTCAGATTATGTATTTATATGGGATGGTTTGGATAGGGATGTTCCTGCTTCAGGCAGGAGTTGGACTTGATGACCTCTGGAGGTCCCTTCCAGTCCTACTTCTTTATGATTTTATGATTAAAAGAGCAAATAAATGATGAATTCAGCAGGGTAAAGACACAGTAAACTGGATGCTTCTTGGACTTCTCTGAATAATGGTTTCAAGAGTGAAATATTTTCGGTAATATTGAAGGCTTATCTGCTCTCAGGCTGATTTAAATAGGATATGGTCACATACCTCTAAGAGTGGAATTTACTTGCTGAAACTGTCTTTCAATTATACAGTTCTAAAAAGGAAACCCGAATCAGTGGGCTACATTCAGATATAATCCACGTTGAGGTAAACCTGGAGCATTCCTTTTAAATCAGTGGAATCTAATCAGTGTAAATCCAGAGCAATAGAGGTTGGAATATATTCCTTTGGGATACTGTTGGAGTGATGTACCTGTATTGGTCCTGGAAAAAGGCATGAATTTTTGGGGATGATATCTTTTACTGAACCAACTGCATGGTTGGAATAGGTTTGGACAAGCTCTTGAATGCAGTGCATTTGCCATCAGGTCCTGCATTTGAAAGCTTGTCTAAATTTATCCCAGCCATACAGCTGGTACAATAAAAGATACCACCCACAAAACTCCTTCTCTTCAGAATTCTGTGTAGGGGAAAAAACCATTCTAGAACATCCTGGGAGTCTGATCCTGAACTCATTCTGGTTTAACTTTCATAGCATGGACTGAAGATTGCAGAGCTTTTGGGGACCAGAAGCTGGCAAGATACTTTTGGATGGATCTTGTCTTAGCCAGATAAGCACTGAAAAACACTTCAGTGAAACACAATTGAACCAAAATGGCTGAGAGAATCATCCTTCCAAAAGTACAGTTACTCATAAAAAACAGCATGTTCATCAAGAGGTGCAATGATTATGCATTAACTTTAATAAATACTACTTTCTCCCAATAAATGCTTTTTTTTTTTTCTTCACATTGTTGCTGCTAACATGGTAACTAACTTTTAATCACTGGATTTAACATCTCAGCTCCTAGGCTCAGTTCAAACAGAACTTTGTCTTCTGCACTTTGAATCTAACACTAATCTTCCTCCACACACTGAAATGCTAGCAAAGCTCACATTTCCCAAAATGGGATGTGCACTGACAAAAACAATGTGTTGTACAATGCTTTTATAAACTTAAGAGGACAAAACTGTCCTACTTCTATAAAATCAAGCTTCCTTCTGGACGTTATTATATTCTTTGGTTTTATATAAATTTAAATAAAGAAAAAAAGAGTTGATTGTAAATCCCTACAAAAGAGAAAGTAAATGTATACCAGGATATGTGCCTTGTTATAATGTGGTACTGTCTAATCTAGCTGCCTTTTGGAAAAGTCCAGTTACATGTAAGGGCTGAAATTCATTCTTGGTGCAATTTAACTGAAGCAAAAAGATTTATACCTGGGAAGAATTAGGCCTGAGGAATTTTGCCACTCTTCAGACTACAAGCAACCCCTAGGTCTTTGGGAGAAAAATTAAAAACCTGACTAAAAAGCGTAAGCCTTGTAACTTCTTAGGTGTTCAAGAGGACAGTGAGAGCAGACTTCCTCTTGGACTGGAAAGAGGGGCTCACTAGCACCTTTGAAAAGTTTCTTCTCTTTTTTAATGCAAAAACACCTCACAAAACCAAAACAAAAAGCTCTTCCTCACAATGCAGTTTCTTGCAGTGCCACTCAACACTAGTGCATGATGTAAGGGCGTCAGGATGGCCTAGTGTACAAAACAGGAGGCTCATTTGGATTCTTCCTTGGTGTCTGAGAATAGTAGCAAGAGTTCAAATCAAAATTTTCAAGTACATCTAGAGCCACGGAAATGTTTTATTCCTGCGGGTAATGGTGACTTTCTGCTAACAAGGTGCAGTTCAATTTTGTTTCAAGGCACTCTGGAGATTGGTTCCATTCCCATGGTATTGTCTCATGGTCATCAAACCTCTGAGCTGTCACTGGTGTAATTATGTGGTGGCATCATTGGCTCACTACTGCCTGATTCCTTCGCAGCTTCCTTCTCTGAGTTCTGTTTATGCTTTAACAGCAAAATAATGATTGCAGCTAAACAGATGGTGAGGAAAACAGCTGCAACTCCACCAATGATTGTGACTATGTTGACTTCTGGGGTGCGGTTATTCAGTTCCCTGGGGAGAATTCCACTGACAGTAACTTCCCTCTGGGGAATCTGTTTCTTATTGGTGCGGTCTAGGGCTATGTGCTGAATGTTTGTTCCTCTGTTGTTTTCTCTCCCGATTTCTTTAGCGAGTTCTGGAGATTCTTTGACCCCTCTCTTCTGGCGTATCTGCACTGAATTCCCACCACTGATGACAGAGTGGTACTTGTATTCCACACTTCTTTTGCCAATACCTCGGTTGGCATTTTCTTTTGATCTTACAGTGTAGATTGTGTGTATATACCATTCTCTACCTAAAGACACCTAGAAGACACAATATTTTGTTTCAAGTTATCCAAAGTAAGTGATTAAACACCAACACAAACTATGAGGTACATTGCCAGCTATTTTATCATCACCTACTGAATATCATTTGTTAGCATGGGTTTATCAAAGGCAGGTCCTTCCTGACCAACCTGATTGCCTTTTATGACCAAGTAACTAAATCCTTGGATGATGGTGTCACCGTGGATGTAGTCTTTCTAGCCTTTAAGAAGGCCTTTGACACTGTCTCTCACCCCATTCTCATCAATAAATTAAGCGACTGTGGCATTGATGCCTACACAGTCGAATGGGTAAAAAATTGGCTGATGGGGTGCACCCAGAGAGTAGTGGTGGACGGGTTGTACTCAACCTGGCAAGATGTGAGCAGTGGGGTACCCCAGGGCTCAGTCCTTGGGCCCGCACTGTTTATCATCTTCATCAGTGACTTGGACGAGGGAGTGGAAAGCAGGCTGTCCAAGTTTGCTGATGACACTAAGATGTGGGGCGAGATGGACACACTTGAAGGGAGAGAGAGGCTGCAAATAGATTTTGACAGACTACAAAAGTGGGCAGATGAGAAAAGGATGGGGCTCAACGTAGATAAATGCAGGGTGCTGCACCTTGGGAGAAGGAATCCACAGCATACATACAGGCTGGGGAGTTCCCTTCTTGAAAACACAGAGGTGGAAAGGAATCTTGGAGTTATTATTGACTCCAAGATGAACATGAGCTGCCAATGCCAGACCGCAGCCAGCAAGGCCAGCCATACCTTGTCATGCATCCAAAGGTGCATCTCAAGCCAGTCCAGAGAGGTGATACTCCCCCTCTATGCGACTTTGGTCAGACCACAGTTGGAGTACTGCATCCAGTACTGGGCGCCGCACTTCAAAAGGGATGTGGCCAGCCTGGAGGGTTAAGAGGAGGCTTCACCCGCTTGGTGAGAGGGAAGCAGGACAGGCCCTACAAGGAGAGACTGAGGGACCTGAACCTGTTCAGCCTCAGCAAGAGGAAGCTGAGGGGGGACCTGGTGGCTGCCTACAAACTCATCAGGGGAGAGCAACAGCAAATAGGTAGAGCCCTTTTCTCCCCAGCACCACCTGGGGTGACAAGGAACAATGGTAATAAGCTGATGGAGAATAGGTTTAGGTTAGAGATCAGAAGGCAATATTTTACAGTTAGGGTGGCCAAAATCTGGAACCAGCTTCCCAGAGAAGTGGTCCTCACCCCTACCTTGGGCAAATTCAAGAGGAGGTTGGACGATCACCTGTCTGGGGTCTTGTGAACCCAGCATTCATTCCTGCCTGTGGCAAGGGGTCAGGCTAGATGTTCTGTTTGTGTCCCTCCTGTCCCTAGCTACTATGAAACTAGGATGGTGCTCCTGAAATCCATGCACTGAAAGGCATCATTGTATGCCCAGACTTCTTGTATAAGAACTAGGGTTGTGGTCCTGTTTTAGAAGCAGAGATACTTGGACCATTCTATCTTCAGGGATGAGCCATGGTCTGTGCAAACAGTTGGACTGGGTCCCCAAAACAAGGGTATAGAATTCTTTGGGACTTTCACAGCCAGCTCACATCTGGTTTTAATGAACTATATTAACCACAACACATGGTCCCCAGGAGCCTTCCTACAATTTACTTTTGTATTCCCATTGCCTTTCTTGTCTGGCAAGAGACAGTGGTATGTACATTCTCACTGGGCTGCTAGTCTAGGAAGGCAAGACAAATTACTAGGTTGTTAGAAATGGAGTTGTTAAATAGCAAATAAAATTTTATTATTTATAGGGGCCAAACTGTAACAACCTTACTCAGATTGCCCCAGGGGTTTCAATAAGACTCCTCACAGAAGTAAAATGTCTATAACAAGGAATAATTCAAGAGGCAAAAAATAATAGCGACCCAACATTTCCTCTAGTAATTTATTTGGATCTTTGCATATATTTTTGCATTTGCAAAAGGTGCAAATTAAGTTTAGATGGATCAAACAAATTAGGGGGGATGAAAGTTAATAAGTGAAAAGAAAGTAAATGTCTTTAATATGGGCTGGCTCCTTTGTTAATTTCTAGACATCCAAATGCTTGCAAGTTTTGAAAGGCACAGAATATTTGTAAGAAAGCAATAGAGTTCTGCATCCTACTTAGGCATGTCACCTAAGCATGTTAACCTTAACTCACAAACCTTTTGTTCATAATTTTTACTGAAAATGCAAAAGCTCATGTTGGGTTGACATACAAAGTCCAGGGGAAAGAAGTGCTACTCTAAAAGATTTTCTGAGGTGTGTCAGAAGAGGATCACTGTCCATAAACATCAGTAACTTGCTAGAAAAGTGTGAGAGAATTAACCTTGGTAACAATTAATGGAGAGAAAGAAAGGATTTTATTCATCCTATTGAAGTGAATAAGATTCCTTTCCTGTGTATCTTCTGATTAGTACAAAATTCTTGAAACTAACTCATGTAGTACTCACCTGAAACAGTGGAGTTGAGTCTACTTTAAATCCATCAGAACCCGGTTGGTTGACTAAAGGAATTGCTTCTGGGTCATCTATTGCTAGTTTTGCATTAAAAAGGACATCCCCAAAGCTTGTGGCTTGTGTTTCAGGCTGAGCTTTGTCCTAAATAGTGAACAAGAAAATTAATTCAATTTGAAAGACACATGGATTTCTGCAAGGGAAGATGATTTTATGAGAATATTTACATGAAAGTGGATTTTCCAGGAATATAACAACTACAGGTTATTTTCTATGATCTAAGTGCATCCAAAAGGAAAAAATGGTCTTAAGCAGGGTTGAGTTTTTAACCAGTCAAATAAAGTTTGGTCAATTGACCAGTCAAATATTGGTCAAAAATTGTAAAACATTGCCAACAGGTGTAAATAATACATAGAAAAAGCACAATTTTTCCATTAAGAAATATGTCAAAGAACAATAAAAAAAATCATATATCTGTCAAGAAAACTATTAAAAATGTACTTTTTTTTGTTAAACTGCTATAATCTTTGACTGGTTAATAATATGCAGTCAATTCATCAGTCAACTGACCAGCTTGTCAATCCTATTCTTAAGTAATTGTGGTTATATTTGATGCGGAGGTTTTGAAGATTGGTACAGGAGACCATTTTGTTTCCTGTGGTAGAAGCTTGCATGTGACTTTGCACAGAAAAAGGGACCACACAATCTTGACAAGGTGGAGATATGTGCCTAGTGCCAAGGGAGAACCCAAGATGGTGGGAGACCTCCGTCTTGCTGCAACCATCTTCTGGTTTTGCAGCTCTTGAGATCCTGACATCCACATCTGCTTTGTCTGTTATTGAGAACTTGGGGTTGGACTGAGGTATGTCTGGAACATCCCTTTAGGTCTGTTTGCCAGGGGTGACCCTGCCAGGAGTGAGAGACTCCAGGTGACATAGCTTTGAGGATTATTGGCACATACAAGTCTCTCTACCACTACAAGGTCTCAATCCATGGACAGGGGGAGCTGGAGTCACTGGCCCAAAAATCCAATCCAGTTCTATGTTTCCATATTGTTATCTTTAACAGGTAAGATGTATAAGATATCATGGAGGATCTAACAAGGTGCTAACCACTTGGCAGAAATTCTTGGATGACAGTGTCAAGCTCTAATCATCCTATACTACTAGGCTAGCACTAGAGTAAAAAATGTGATGGAAACTAGTAGACTTATTTTTAAGAGACATGGCCTTACAGCAGGCTCAGTAAACTAATTCAGTAAAACAGCTGAAAACATAACACATGCTTCTGATTAAAACAAAAAGTCTTACCACTATCTTAAATCTGTATAAGAGGGATGGAGAATCAGCTAAACAGCCATATTCAGTGTCAGGTGGATTGTACTTGGGTACATATCCATCAGCTCCAGTACAAAGGAAAACCTTCTCAATGCTACAGTAGAAGGAATCACCCAAGTTCTGCACTGGATCCACCATCACCCGAACATATATAATATCACCTGAAAACAAAAATGTATTAAATACTGCCATTTTGTAAGGCAAGGGTCTCACTTTATCAAATGACCTGGTCATAGCCACACTCAAGTACAGTGAAATTATATGTAATCTGACATTATAATACTATTATTAAATTGGTCTTGATTATGAGCTGTGCTCCAGTTTTTTTTACAGTGCTCTAAGGTAAAACTGGCCTGAAACCCAAGCAGATTTTCCCACTGGGCAGAAGGTAGCAGGGATCTGAGCCTGGCTTACAAAGTAGTTTTACAACAGTGTCTTGGGAGTGCATCCAAGGAGTGTGCCTGGAGGGTATGACCATAATGGACTCTGCTCCCTCTATTCAGGGCCTCCCCTGGCACCAGGTACCTGGCCCACTCTGGAGCTGGCAGCCACCACACTCCCCAGACCCAGTTATATTTGTTTTTGCTTGGATTTGAAACTGAGGGCTCTTCCAGACATGGAGGCAAAACAGGATCTAGTGCACGAACCACATAATCATGACTCCTGCCATGGCACACATGCATGGCAAGAGGCACAACTGTTGGATCATACATTAGATCTCATCAGGCCTTATTGCCAGTGCAGGGCTCCCTGGCAAAAAGCAAGCTCCTGTGGATGGCAGCCCCTCAGGTGAGTGGCTCCCAGCCATGGGGTCCTCCATGTCCCCTTGTGGCTTGGAGACACAGCTGCCATGATCTCCCAGCCTCAGGGCTTTCACACACCCCTGAGGCTAGGAGATGGTAATAGCTGCAACCTCCCAGCCCTGGGGATTTCACGCACCACTGAGCCTGGGACATTGGGAAACTGCATCTCCCAGTCCTGGGGACTCCTGGGAGGTCACAGCTGTATCTCACAGCTACTGGGACCCAGTTGTGTCCTGGCACCCAGAGGCCCACTGTGGGGACCCAGTAGCTGAAGGGTGATGCTGGGACCCTGATATGGTAGCTGCTGGGGTTGCGAGTCCCTTCAGTTGCAGGACTCCCAACCCCAGCTGGGTATGGTGCACCCCTGTGACTGGAAGTCCCATTAGCAGACGGGGCTCCCAGCCATAAGAGGGACCCTGCTACATGTGCAAATTAAAGCTCCATAGCAAGCAGCTATAAAGTTAGCACACATTTTCAAGGTCTAACTTTATAGCTGATTGGAGCTCTTTATGGAGTGATAGGTACTTTGCACATGTAGCTGGTGTCAAGGTAATTGCACAATTACCCAGTTAATTGTGTGCTACCTGTAATGTGCAGAAGGGGCCTGAATAATATAACTCTGGGCCCCTAGCACATTAGTAAATCTGCTAGTTTCTTTTTAATTGGAGAAAGTATGTGTTATTTGATGATGCACCATACCACACATTTCAATAACCTAGATCTGGCCATGCAGGCAGCTAATATTTTTGCAAGCCTGGCCTTCTGGCATGCATTATCTAAGTACAAATATACCTTCTGTGAAAGCAACATCGCTCTCCTGTCCAAATCCCACTGATCCATCAGATAACCAGAGATTCTTCTTAGAAAGGAGGTACATCTGGGTATTCAAGCTGAACTCAGCAGCCACTGGATCACTGACCTAAAACAAAAAATTTAGGTTCTTTAACAGGTATTTAAATTATTTATAAACATTAATTTTCTTTATATACTTAAGATTGACAAATCTATTATTAATTATTCATATTGAAGTAATGTCCAGGGTCAATTCAAACAGGATTTGGTTCCTGGGAGCACAAACATAATCCCTGCCCCAGGGAGTGTACAATCTAAATAAGGGCATGTTGTGACAGGTGATGTAGAACACAATGGGGAGTCTGGGGAAAATGAGGGTGACAGTAACATGGGTACAAAGCTGAGCATATTATCTAGGAGAACAGTTTAGAGGCAGCACAGGGTTGGGGTTTCTTTGTTTTTTTTTTGTGTTTAAAGATGATAAACAGTCAAGAAACATTACAGAATGAAACCCCTGAAAGTGGGTTTTTAAAAAATATGTATCAGTATATGAACCTTCTTACTTGCTCTTGTGTGAGATGAGCATAATCATACTATTAGAAACTAACACTAGAAATTATGCAGCTGAAATACACAACCCCCTTGAATCAATTCTCCACAGAACAAACTCAAAACATATCAAAGCAGCAGAATTTGGCAATAAAAATGTTCAACTGAAGCTCATTTAGAGGGTAACTGCTTATCTCCTTGGAGATGAAACCTAAAAACTCTGTTTACAGAAGAAATTAATGTCCAGTATGTTTGGAATTTTTCTGTTTTAATGCATGTATTTCAGCTATCTGATCTACTGCTCTGGAAACTCAAATGTCTCACTGACACAGCTGGGTTCCAGTTTGTTTTCAGAAAGGTGGTTTTGAAAGAAAATCTGGCCTGCTCAAACTTTCATTTTTTAGAGTGCAGCTGTCTAGAAGAATATTTTCAGATAGCAGCAATGGATGTTAGGTATGCAACTTACAACACTGTAAATGAGAACTGCATAGCTAAGTTTTATCCACGCAGTTGTTAATATCTCCTTTGGTCACTGACACATACAGTGCTGCACACACCCCCCTTTGGTGTACACACAGTATCGAACTAACTACACTGCAGATGATCAGATTTTTCTATGGATGAAGAATACTGTACAGATTCCCTGACAGGCACATCTTGTTCTTGCCTCAGTGGGACTGAAAAACCTCCACAGGCAACACCAATGGGACCTCTGCTGCCTAAAGGAGAGGCAAGATTCAGGGAGGTTGTGTACCCAGTGCAGCAAGGATCCCAGTTTCATTAGGGTGCCTGCAGGGAACTGAAGATGGCACTGTGGCAGGGCACTGTGTGTGCCTGCCACTTCAAGGGCCTGGAGCTGGCAGGCGCCAGGTGACTAATGAGGGCAGCCCTTTTAGATTTAGTGGGGGGGCGGGCTCCCAGTGGTGTGGGAGCCCCCAGGAAATGCCAGGCCAGTTACCACTCCAGTGAAAGGCGGGTCGGGGTGCCTTAATCCCTAGCCCCCATGACTGGGTGGGTTACCCCTTTGTTTGGAGGGCCCAGACGGTGGACCCTCAGAGAGTGAGGAAAGGGCCATAGACTCAAGGCCTGTGTGAGTTTCCCCTGACTGGCCCACGCTGGCACCAGGACTGGAAGGGTCGAAGGGCCGGGGGCCCACTGCGAGGGACGCCCAAAAGCTGAGGGCCTGGGGTCCTGACTGGCCTGGAGGTGGGCCAGGGCTAGATGAGCCAAAGGTCTCGGTGGGGGGACCACACCCAAAGGGGAACCAGCTCAGGGAGCTATGCTGCCCAGTATGATGGCGGAAGAGGCCGCCTGAAGGGGAGGAATCCAGGTGGGGTCCAATAGTAGGATTCTGGGGCCCAAAGAGTGGGGGCCGGTGATTATGTGAACATCAAGATGCCATCTGCAAGGCTTGGGCTGCAGTGTAGGGGAGGAAAGGAGCCGCAGATAGCACCCCCTGGCATCGGGGCAGAAAATGGGCAGCCTCCCGCTAATTACCATCTATTGAAATAATTAACAACAAGGCGTGGTGGGTGAGAATGTGGGCAGTTGGTCCACGAACAGGTGGGCGGGCCACTCTGAGAACAGTCCCGAGCGCGCCCCCTGTTACAAGCACTTAAAGTTGTGATGGGATGAGGGGAAAGGATGATGCTGGGTGAGCTCTTGTGCATGTCCAGTACTTCCTAGTAAATTAGAAGCAACACCCCACTGAAGGATCTAGGCTATTTCTTTTCTGCCCTTCCGTCTTCCAAGTACTCAGCCAGGATGCTCAGGCTGGGCTTTGGGAAGTGGACTTGATATGGGTCTTGAAGAAGTGTCATAAGAACATCATTTCCCAGGGGGAAAGAAGTGTCAAAAAGAAGTTTCAC